GTTAGAGTAAGGGGAGTAAGTCTTAAAAATATTATTTTTTTCAAAGGTTTTGTTATATCAAAAAGAAGATATTGTTGAACCATGTTTTGTATTTTGATATACCAAAAATGAATATTATTTTAAAGAAATTTTAAGATTGTTTTATATTTTTTTTTCAAGTTTATATTTGATTAAATCATTCGAATATTGAAATTATTTTTAAGGTCAAAAACTCTATTTTTATTACTTACTCTTCTTGAAAATTAAAGTCATATACTAGAATAATTTTAAAACAATTTTACAAAGGGTTTCAGATTTTAATCGAGTCAAAAAATGATTTAAACCCTGTAGTATTGATACTACAAGAATAATATCGATATTGTTCATGTAGTATTGATATCAGTATTGATGTTATTGTGCTAAAATACGCAGTAGTACTAATACTTAGGATGGGAGTACCTATATTCCCTTTATGGTCTCGACAAAAACGAATTTCAAAAGCCATTTTTGGTATTGATACTGTGAAAGTATCGATACTAGTATTGATACTCTTACTAGTTTACCAATACTCTCCTTTTCAACAGTCAAATGTTACGTATTTAATGCAGGAAGTATCAATACCATTGATTGGAGTATCGATACTCAAGACATATGAGCAGCATTTATTGCGAGAACCAATGACTCTATTTACTCTCACAACAAACCAAACGGCATATGTGTAGCATTTATTGTGAGAACCAAAGAAAAAAATTAAAAACTAATTTACAAAATAGAAAACAATGATTGTTGGAGGAGCGTGAGCTTAATTAACCCAAAAACTTTTATTGGAAACTTATCCCATTCCACTTGGCGCCAACTTCCCAATTTCCCTCTAAATTTTCAATTTCCCTCTATTATCTAAATTTCCTAATTTCCATCTAAATTCTCAAATAAAATCAAAATTTTACACACTCAAAAAAATCTTTTAAAAGCTTTCTCCCACCACTCACTTTGAATAATATATATATAATTTTTAATCTCAAATAAATTCATCTTATGTGTATATTTAAAATTTTATGTTAAATTATATTTAAATTATTAATTAATTATTACATGATAAATAAATTAAACTTATAAATATTTAAATCAATTTTACATAATCTAATAAAATCATGTTCAATAAATAAATTACTTAATGAAATTAATTTAATGATTATAATTAATATTTATAATATAAGAATTATATTTAATATAAAAAATAAATTTATTAATTTAATTATCATAACTAACAATTTGTTTGAACTTTTAAAAGTAATAATATTAATCATCATATTTTATTATAAATTTAAAATCTCACAACTTCATCAATTGTAACTTATAAGTAAGATAAATATCAAGTTCGGTCAATAACAAGTCAGATTATTTACAGATTGAGTCAATTACAGGTCATGTTCATAACAAGTCAGGTTGATAACAGGTCGGGTAATATCAGTTATTTACCTGGTTAATCTCAGGTTCAGGTTCACATCAGTCAGATGCAGGTTGGGTTCGGTTATCATATTATCGATTGAATTCGAGTTCAGGTCATTCTCAGATCAGGTGCAGTTTGGGTTCATATCCAAAATTTTCAGGTCTAACTCGGGTTCAGGTTAAGACCAGTTCCGACTCAAGTCGGTTTCAGATCACCACCGCTTAGGTCACAAACAATTTTGACTCAAGTCGGTTTCAGTTAATTTTACAGGTAAGTTAGCTTTTTACATCCCTATTTACTAGGGTTGTGAATACACATCTAAACTCATGTGTAGGTCTTGTGTTATTTTTTAAAATAAGACCTTTAAAATAGTTTATAATAAAACAAAATTGTAAAATATCAACATTCATCATATTATGATTAATTCTTATAAAATAAAAAAATAGTTTTCTTCACGCATATGTATAGTAGGAAAAATAACTTTTTAGGTTAGTATATTTTTTCCCAAAGTGTAGGGTTCTTAAATTTTGAGGTTCTATGACGTATCACAAACTATACTTATATATGGACGCCTGATAATGAAATATTGAAAATATAGTGTTTAATACAATTTTTAAGATTTTCAAGTCTTTTCATATTTTGGCTATAGAAGATTAAGGATAAATTTGAGCGATTTTGGATCATATAGGTTTATCATTTTACATCTCGAAAGATATAATTTTTATTTGGATTTGACGCCCACTTTATGGTCATTCTTAATTCAGATTATTTTGAATTTTCATTTAAATTTGGCACATGAGTTCAAGACATTTTAAGTTTAGTTATGTTCATTTTAAGTTTGATAGATTTAAATTGTTGATTTTTTTTCTCGATCAATTCTAGTTTGATAAAGTTCTTATTCAAATTATTTAATTTGAGATTTCAAATTTTAAAATAATCTTTTTAACTTTTTTTTTTTAAGTTTGATAGATTTAAATTGTTATTTTTTTCTCGATCAATTTGAGTTTGATAAAGTTCTTATTCAAATTATTTAATTTGAGATTTCAAATTTTAAAATAATCTTTTTAACTTTTTTTTAAGTGAAGTGTGAACATGTGGAAGTTAGGCCTTGTTTGTTCAAAAGGTGATCACATAACTTCCATTGTAACTTGTTTTGGTTAGCTAATCAATGTTTCTTAATCATTGATTGATGGTATTGGCGTGCAACTTGTCCCTACTTTCTACAATGGATGATTAGATTAATAGAAATCACCTAATGGGATGTCATCTTCATGACCTATCATGTTTGTTTGCTCATGGCTTCACATAACACATGTCCATCAAAACACAACACTTAGATTCGCACAATGAACAATTGATAATGCTAATAAACAAATATGATTCTCTATATCAACCCGTCATTCAACCCAAAAAGGTTTTTGTTTTGTATTGGTAGACGCCCTTAAAGAAATGGGAACAAAGCTTAGGCGATTGTCTTAAATATTATCACCTAATTTGTCTCTTTCATCACGTTTCGGTTCATATTCTGATGAGAATTATTCTACAAAATTCAGTCACCTTTCTTTGCGAGAGGTGTTGACTCATGGTTGGCTACTCCCAGATTCAACTACTCACTACAAAACAATTCAAGAAAAGAAAGGATTGGCCGTGTGTGGATGGGAGGAGAGCATGCGTCAGTGTAGATTTATCAATTGGGTTTTTTTTAAGAATTAATTAATATTAAATATATATATATATATATATATTTTTAAAAATAAAAAAATTATCAAACACCTCTTCAACTAAAAAAATTGTATTTATGGAAAATACAAAATATTTTGACCCTCACTATAATAAATTCCTAATTCCGCCCCTGTAAGAAATAATGAAGCGAGTTCGTCAATATCTTCAGTGGTTGGAGAAGACATCAGAGAATAGTTAGTGTGCATTATGGATGAACTTGTAAAATTTTTATCTTTGTAGGAGGAAGATAAAATAATAAAAAGTTAACAACACAGAGATTCTTTGTCAAAAAAATGATCCATATCAGCACATGTGGTTGTCATGATACCCTTTTATTTATGATTTAACACCCGAGTGATAAAAATAAGAGCAAATTAAAATTTTAATGAGTAAGTTAAATAGTTTTAAACTTTAATAACTAAAATAAAAAATGGGAAGAAAATTAGGTAGCGAAATTCCTAATTTACCCTGTTTTCTGCTTAATTGTCAAGAGGATGACACCACCATACTTCAATAAAATAACTGCCGCTCATATTCTGTCACAACCCTTACGTGTTCTCGTCCAATTTTCTCCCTTTTCTTTTTCTTTTCTATCTTTTTAGTTTTTATTTATTTATTTATTTTTGTATTTAATTTTTCTAAATAGTATTTGAGTTGTAACAAAATCAATTGTCATACTATTATATTTATTTTTATATTAGTATTAATTATATTTATTTTTAATAGTAATATTATTCGTAATTTTTACTTTTCAAGTTGTTTAGTTAAATATTTTATCATTTTTGTATAATCATATTTTCATTATTTGATAGATAATTTGTGCTCTTTGACTCGTTCTTTCAAAACATCAGGTTTTCTTTTCCACAGCATAGCTTACTCCTTTTCTTCATCTCTTTGGTTAGTAGAAGACATTACTCATGGTATTAGTTGTTGATCACGGTATTTATTATTTTCTCTTTACTTTCTTATATGAATATTTAATTTTTTTTAAAATTTTTAATAATTCTATGTTTATTACTCGTTTTTCTCTGTCTTTTAACGTGTTTTGAGTTTTCTTTATCGGTCATTTGGTGTACTTTTCGTTTATTTTTCTCACAGTTAGATTCTATGTCGCTTCGACTAATCAAGATAACACTTATTTGATATTATATTGATCTTTCATGTTCCGAACTCCTATATTGAATTTGAATACATAATTCGCGTTCATAGATAGTTTTCTCATGGCGTTCATGTCTAATTTATATCTGTCGGTGTTTTTTAGTAGTTTAATCCTCTATTATGGTTTATTTATCGATGTGGTCAGAAATGTATGTATCCATCTTTTGATCGAATTTTATGCATGAATTTTCATCCTTTTCCTTCCATAATCTGAAGTGGTTAATTTTTCTTATATTAATAGTTATAGAAAAATATTTTAATTATGTGTTTAGTTTACGTTTGTGGTCGTAAACTTTCATTATAATTTTGGATATTTTTTCTTCTTTTAAACAAAACTAACTGCTTCTATATGAAAAAGATAATTTGTGATTTTGATAATTTTTAGAGTAATTATTTAATGTGATTAGTGTACTTCAGTTTTAATTTGTATAGATTTTTCTTTTTCTGAGGTAACGACTGTATTATATTTTTATTTAATTAATAAAACTAATTATTTCTATCAATTAAAGAATCTAATAAACAAAACACATTATCCACTAAGCATAGTAGTGGAGTAGATTAAAACAATCTTAATTTATGCCAAATAGCTGATAAAAACAACCTTTTTAAAAATATTATACAACATTAATACCTAAATAGCTCATAAACCTCTTGAAAGTCCCCCCCCCCCTCCAAATGTTGCAGAAAAATCATGCTCCCATATGTGGAAATATTGATGTCTCTCTTGACTCTTCTTACCTTGAAATTTGTATTCATATCAGTCTTTTTCTCGTTGTTGCTTCCAATATTATGTAAAGTATGCAAAGCACCAAAAGTGTCACCACATGGCCCTCCAACATATCCTATAATCGGCTGCTTGATTTCATTCCATAAAAACCGCCATCGTTTGTTGGACTGGTACACGGAGCTCCTCGCAGATTCAGCCACCAACACGATCGTCTTGAACCGGCTTGGTGCTCCAAGAACCATCGTAACTGCGAACTCGAAGAACGTCGAATACGTGCTCAAAACCAACTTCAGCAACTTCCCTAAAGGCAAACCTTTCACTGAAATCCTAGGTGATTTTCTTGGCTACGGGATATTCAATGTGGATGGTGAGCTTTGGCGGATGCAAAGGAAGCTAGTCAGCCATGTTATTGGCTCCGGTTGTTCGAGCGAATTTATGGTTAGGGCTTTGAAGGACGAGGTTGAAAATCAGTTGTTACCGTTGTTAGAGTCATTGGCTGATACATCAAAAGTGGTAGACCTGCAGGAGTTGCTAAAAAGACTTGCGTTCAATATGATCTGCAAGGTCTCATTAGGGGTGGATCGATGTTGTTTGGATCCTTCTCAACCTGTTTCAGCTCTCAACAAAGCTTTCGACACGGCGTCGGAGATATCCGCCAAGCGTGGCGCTGCTCCTTTGTTCTTGGTTTGGAAGGTTAAGAAATGGGTCGGGGTTGGATCGGAGAAACGGCTCAAGGATGCAGCGGAGGAAGTCCGTGCATACGTTGAGGGAATCATTCGTGACAAGAAGATAAAGATGGATGAAAGCGGAGACAATCACGGTGAAGAGAATCTCTTATCGAGGCTGATAATCGCCGGTAACGATGAGGAAGCGATAAGAGACATGACCATAAGCTTCATCATGGCAGGAAGGGATACAACTTCAGCTGCAATGACATGGTTTTTCTGGTTGCTTTCCTGCCATCCAGCTATAGAGCAAGAACTAGTGAAAGAGATAAACACCGTGGAGAAAACTAGCTTGTTAGATTATGAATCATTGAAGGGACTTAAATTGTTGAAAGCATCTCTTTGTGAATCAATGAGGCTTTATCCACCAGTAGCCTGGGACTCAAAGCATGCCATGGTCGACGACCTATTGCCCGATGGCACTCCAGTCCGTGCCGCAGACAGGGTAACCTATTTCCCCTATGGAATGGGGAGGATGGAAGCATTGTGGGGAAAAGACTGGCATGAGTTCAGACCCAGCCGATGGTTTACCGAACCGACAAGCTACCATGGAGGATCACTAAAGAAGGTTTGTCCATTCAAGTATCCGGTGTTTCAGGCAGGTCCAAGAGTTTGCCTTGGGAAAGAGATGGCATTCATTCAGATGAACTATGTGGTGGCTTCCATACTCAGGCAGTTCGAAATCAAACATTTTGTTTCTGAAAAACCGGTCTTTGTGCCTCTCTTGACGGCTCACATGGCCGGCGGACTGAAGGTTGAGATTCAGAAAAGAGATATTCAAGATAATATCAGAATTTAGTAAGAGTCGACCAAAACTTGTAAGTAAAGATGTTAATTTGCCTTTATGTCTCATCTGTATCATATGAGTTTAAGTTCAAGACGAATTAACTCAAGTTGGATCTTGCTCGGATCAACTTGTTAAATTAGTATTTATATTTTTTAGCGAAATAAATTTTAATGTAACTTAACGAGTTTTGTAAATTTGTCAAGTCAAGTTAGAATTTACTCGGATCAACTTGTTAAGGTCTCAAATCGAGTTCAAGTTTAAGATGAATTAACTCAAGTCGAACATTGACCAACTTTTAACTGTATCGAACTTGATCTATTCAACTCATTAAATACCCCTATCCAATATAGTTTTCCAAGTACACTATGGTTTGTTTTCTCAGATCTGCAAGTCCGGAAACTACCCTAGTCCGGAATCAAATTCAAGCCACTGCTAGAGTTTTTAGGGTTTACTTTATCAAGTTCACGATCCGCATGAATTCGATGTACATTTGAAATGGAAACCAAAGTATCATCGATCATGAAATCGATAGTAATCATTCGAGAGGTCTAAATTATTATTATTATTATTCTAAATTGGTCTTTAAATTTATTGACACAGATTATTATTATTATTATTATTATTATTATTATTATTATTATTATTATTATTATTATTATTATTATTATTATTATTATTATTATTATTATATTATTATTATTATTATTATTATTATTATTATTATTATTATTATTATTATTATTATTATTATATATTATTATTATTTATTATTATTATTATTATATATTATTATTATTATATTATTATATTATATTATTTATTATTATTATTATTATTATTATTATATTATTATTATTATTATTTTATTATATTATTATTATTATTATATTATTATTATTATTATTATTATTATTATTATTATTATTATTATTATATTATTATTATTATTATTATTATTATTATAGAGTCATTCTTCGTAAACTGCAACTCTCTCGCCTAAAGAGACCTTTGGATGCGTTTTTATACCGCTGGACTTATTTTTCAATAAATTATAGGAGTAACGCTCTCGCCTAACGAAAACTTCGGATGTGCTATTTCGCATACCAAAGTCTTCGTAGTTTTAATAAAATATTTTATTTTATCACAATTCCAAATTTTTTGTCTTTGAAAACTAGAAATCGGGTTCGAGAATCAATTACTCGTGGGAAAAGATTAGCACCTCCACAACGTCCATAAATTGATACCTAGTTGATTACCCTATATTTAAAATTTGAAATTTTGAGTTTGAGATTTTATTTAATTTAAAATTCATTATGTATGAAAGGTTTTTGAAAATGATGTCGATTTACTTCGGGAATTACCAGTTGTCACCCCATGAGCATAATGCGGAGAATATACTATTAACCTCCTAATAAATGAGCTTTGCCTTGTTTTTGAAAACATGATGCAAGCACACAATTTATTATTAATCCTAATTAAACTAAGGTTTAATTAAGGCTTTCATCTAATCTAAAGTGTTCGATTATGTAATTTAAAAAACCCAGAGGACTAATCTTAAAAAAATAGAAGTTCTAATATTAATCCTAGTTGATTTTAACCAATTATTAAATTGAATAATCGATTTGAACTATCAATCATCTTAATACGAAAGCCAAATCGAATTATTCCCTAAATTTAAGGACTAAGGTGAAAATAAACCTAAAGTGGAGGCTCTAATTAAACTAATTAATTATGTCAAGTAAATATCTAAAAAGTTCAAGGACTAAAGTGTGAAAAGTCTAAGGTTAAGGCTCTAACTATTAGCATTCTCCTTTTTTATCGAATCGAATAATCGAAATGAACCCTCAGTCATCTAAATGCGAGAGCCAAATCGAATTATTCCCTAAATTAAAGACTAGGTGTGAGAAGTCTAAATCTAAGGTTTAGATCTAAAATCTAAGAGCCTAATTACAAACTAAACTAAATGAACTTAAACTAAAAGATTAACCCAAAAATCATAAAAACAAACATGCATTTAAACAAGTAAGAATATGCTAAAATTATACAAAATTAATTTTAAAGATTAATTAATTATTTAAAAATTACCAAATAAATTTATATAACAAAATTAATTTTGAGGCTAATTAATCTAAGGATTAAATTAAAAAAAGAATAATTCAAGGACCAAATGTTAATAAGACAAAAAAATCAGCATAGTGGCCCAATTAGAAAAAATCAAAATTAAGCATGAAAATTCAGGAATTAAGACAATGACTTAAGTGTAAATACACAATAAAATCATAAGGACTAAAGGATAATATTCCGTAAATTACAATCCTACAATACATTAACACGTAAAATACAAAAATTACAAAATCAACCACCAAGATTAAAAATAAAATCAAAACATTTATTGCAGGTGACCAAAATACAAAAACACAGTAACTTTCAGGGGACCTAAGCATAAATAACCCCTAAACTTTTATTATAAAAACCAAATATTTTAACTCATTTCTCACCCCCAATCTTAAAAAAAACTCTCCCTTCTCTAAACTTAACTCTCTCACCGTCTCTCATCCTAAGGTTTCACCGCCGCCAACCACACTGCCGGCCACCACTAATGGTGGTTGGGCTAACTTAGACTTAACCAAAACGACCCCAATTCTCTCGATCTATCCTCATACACCAAACCCAAAGATCAAGAGCCTAAAAACGACCCTAAAACAACCTAAAAGTAGACCTGACCTCTCGACTTCCTCACTCCTCGACGGATACGACTCCGGTGATAACCCAACGACCAAAGGTAAGACTTCCCCCTCTCTACTTGTTTGGTTTCGAAACTTGTTGGGAAATAAGAAAAAAATGAGGCTTTTACCGTGTTTTTTTTTTGCTTTGTATTGCTTTTTGAAAATATGATGGAAGAAAATCTTTTTACATATTTCGAGTGATCATTTTATAGACCCACTATTCTCATTTTTACAACAAAAATGCAACCTAATCTACTTTCTTTTTGACATTCACCATTTTCCTATGCATGGTGGTTGGCGAGGTCATACGACAGCAGGGGAGAGTATGGCTGCCATTATTGGGCTAGTGAGGTATTAAATTCCTTGGATTTGTTGAGATTTGATTTGACTCAGCTTGGTGGCTCCAACAATTGACGCAGTGAGTTATGAGACAGATCTGGTCGGCGACGACTAGAGTCCAGCTCGATAGTGGCGACTACTATGATGCTAAGAAAAATGGATAATGGCTAACCCTAAAATTATGGTTAGTATTAACCATAAAGGGATAGGGTTGCGGGCTTAGGTTTTTTTTGGGCTTTTATTTTTGTAATGGGCTTGATAATAATATTTATTTATTTATCATAATAATAATAATATTAATATTAAAATTGGTTGGATAAAAAATGGTGATTATAGTTGCCTCTCTTTGCTCATTTTTGTGAAATGGGAATGGTGCAAAGATATAAAACACCATTTTTTATTTGGCCTAAACTGCTGGAATTCATGAGCTATAAGTTATTCTCATTATAAGCTTTTTACTCCTTTGTAGAAATACCCATTGAGGTTTGAATAACCTCTTTTACATGAACTTTTCCTCCTTCTCTAGACGAGCTCTTCTCATTATGAATTCTTCAATTGGAAGTGTCGATCCACCTCTTGCTGTGATGAATCAAGAAAAGGTTGAACAACCTCTTCTCATTATGAACTTATTCTCCCTTATCGAATAAATTCTTCTCTCCACTGGAAATATTGATCAATCTCCCTCTGTGATGGAATCGAACAAAGGGTGATGTTGATCCGACTCCTTAAGTTATGAAATTGATCAAAATGGTGATGCTGATCTAACTCCTTTTGTGATGGATGAGCGAAATGTTGATATTGATCCAACTCTTTATGTGATCGACGAGTGAAATGTTTATGATGATCCAACTCCTTATGTGATGGATGAGCCAAGGTTGAACAAGTTCTTCACATTAGGAATTTCTTTTCCCTCATCGGATGAGTTCTTCTCATTATGAACCCTTCCACAGAAAATGTTGACCCACCCCTTATGTGATGGACGATCCAAGGTTGAATAAGTTCTTCTCATTAGGAACTTCTTCTCCCTCATCAGGCGAGTTCTTCTCATTATGAACCATTCTATTAGAAATGTTTGGTCTATTTTTCTCTGAAGAATCTTAAACCTATAAAAGATTATCATATGTCAGTGATATGTATTTAAAGTACTCGAAGGTAATGACACGATGGTCCTTGATTCTTTGTTCAAATCTATTTCTTTCAATGGTGAAAAATGTGAACTAATTCTTTGTTGAACTTATCTTCTTTCACATGAAGTCCTGGAATGAAACCTTCATTGATCTTTTGTAACCTATCAAACATTTAAGACTTGGTAAAAGAATGAATGTGTATGCTCTTATTATGCAAATGTCCAAATATGCATGCATGATGTCATTTTAGTGTTGCGAGCTCCACTGTCTTGTTAATTTTTGCTTCATTTTCTTTGTTGAGTCCTCATCTTTGCTTAAGTCTTTATCTTTGCTTAAGTCTTCATATCGTGATGAATTTTTCTTCTTGCCCCAAATAATATTGGCCTCTATCATTCAATTCCTTTGCCTCAATGTCTGATTCTAAGCTTCTAAGTCTGACAGACCTTTCTAAGATAACATTCCAGGGAAATTATCTTGTTTGAAAATATTTTTCTTCTTTTTGAAAATTTTATTAAAGAAACAAAATGATGCCTCTTCTTATGCTCACACTGAAGAAAATCACAAAACATGAGTTCAATAAATATTGAAATAATCAATTGCTCCTTAAATTTTCAAAGTTATAACCCTTTGACAAGTCTCAGGATTAATGACTTGGTTTTAGGTTGGTTTCTAATTTTCTAGGGTTTCAGCTATCGATATGTCATTTATTTCTCAGTCCTCGTGAACGTTGTAACATACCCCTCTTTTCAGCTTAGCATTTTAATAAGATGAAGACAAAATGATAGAGTGCTTCTATTTTGGTTCTCTGAAATCTTCCATT